TATCCTGTGAGATGTTGTGGACCCCCATGACTATCCTGTGAGATGTTGTGGATCCCATGACTATCCTGTGAGATGTTGTGGATCCCATGACTATCCTGTGAGATGTTATGGATCCCATGACTATCCTGTGAGATGTTGTGGATCCCATGACTATCCTGTGAGATGTTGTGGATCCCATGACTATCCTGTGAGATGTTGTGGACCCCATGACTATCCTGTGAGATGTTGTGGACCCCATGACTATCCTGTGAGATGTTGTGGACCCCATGACTATCCTGTGAGATGTTGTGGACCCCATGACTATCCTGTGAGATGTAGTGAACCCCATAAACCATCCTGTGAGTGGCAGTGGACCCCATAACCATCCATAAAGTGGTAAGTTACCACATCCCCATCCTATAAATGGTAGTGAAGCTCATGTTCATTGTTGTTCATAGGCAATCTAAAGTGACAATAAATTTTATCTTTGAGAGAATGTGAGTTGACTAAATCATCAGGTCTATCACCTATGAAATGAATTTGTCAAATGACTAGTCATTTGGAGCCCCATATAGGATGGGATCCCCAAGAGAGAGACTTTGATGTCATCATTGATTATTTGAGGATAATTACCTTTCTTTAGACACAACCATGTTACAGGTATGTCAAAGGGAGTTTAGAGCAATCAAATAAGGCATAGTTATTAGCAATTACACACACTTGAAGGCGGGCCGAAAGAGCAGAGCTCAACCCCCGCAACCACAACTAGGTGAATACAACTAGGTGAATACGAGAAACTGTTATTACATAAGAAAAATACAGCCGCATGTGCATTATAGTCTCATGTATTCAAGTGTATCATGTATCAAGTTTGCCTACCTACAGTAGGCAAACTTGAGGTACTTGACTAAGATTTCTACCTATACATTTCTTGAACATTTGTGACGTATATCCCCCAAATTATGTATTAACATTTTTTCAAATTCCATCATATAGTGATGCAGGATGTGTGACTATTTTTGTTAACACAGTTTACATTTGGTCAGGTCTCCATCGGCAGGTGAAGCAAACGCTCAGAGCTACTTGTGACCGAGTCTAAGCCTTGCAGTACCACACATCTAGAAGTCTGCTGACTTTAATGGATGACTAAATGATATTAGTCTCTTCTTGCATGGTAGTATACCTTGAGATTACCTTGCGGTGCTTCCGGAGCTTAGCGTCCCCGCGGCCCGGTCGTCGACCAGGCCTCCTGGTTGCTGGACTGATCACCCAGCCAGGATGGAGATATCATCCAGTATGATGATAGATGGAACACGCACAGTACATCTCACTTTGTCTCAGATTTTCAAAGTTTTGTTGGTGTATTATTGTTCTCGGGCAGATTGTAGGCAATCCAGGGTAATAGTTAAGTCCTTTGAGAGCTTACATTATAGCTAATTCATAAGTTCTCTTGCGTATTCGGGGACAACATGAGATGGAATCCTTATGAAATCGACCCGGTTACCATCTGTAGTATTTGTTTCTGTATATGTCTGGCTTCAGCCACTAACATGCTGCAGTTGTGTCTGAGGAAGTTGAGGGCAATTAAGGAGGATACAGAATCACTTACAATTAATGTATCGGATTTGGTGACAATGTACACATTGAGAGGGGGGGGGGCCTGCTGCATGGGTAACAGCTTCTCCCCATATTACTTGCCTTGGAGAGGACACTCCATCCTCGACAACCAGAGCCCAACTCCATAGTCTCCCGAGACTGCAGGATGCCTACTAATACTACTACTACTACACATTGGGTGCAACGAATATGGCAAATAGCAATTGCTGCTGCTACTTATCTTATCGCTGCTGCTACTTAAAGGGTAGAGACCCAGGTGATTATATGGACGCCACACTCAAAATCAGAGCTCTCTCTCGCTGTCACGCCAAGAGGTCTTCACCAGTGGGAGAAGCAGTATTATTTGTTGTTAAATTCCTACGAATATTTACATATTGCCAACGTCAAGCATACCCATTCATCTTGGGATTTGTGGGGTCCCACTCGCCTTGTGACGTGGGATTCCAGGTGCCTAGTGACATCCTGTGGGACATCAAACCTGGGACACCGAGCGACATCCGAGGACCAGACACCTCTTAATTATGGTCCCTCGTAGTGTGTGACATCCTGTAACATATCGTTACGCGTCATCTAACGTCATTGGACACAGTTTAACATGTGACAACTTGTGAAACACCCGTTGTCTCTATGTATCTTCCAACCTGTCAGTTTTGGTGACGCGGGGTACACTGTGATGCGTGACCTGCCGTGACGCGTCACAACTTATGACACGTGATAATTCACAACAGACAAATGTTCTTAATCAGCTGCTGAAACGAAGAATGAAACGACAACTTTTATTTGTTCCAATAATGTTGAGTTTTATATATATATATATATATATATATATATATATATATATATATATATATATATATATATATATATATATATATATATATATATATATGCGAACAAGCCTGAATGGCTTGTTTATATATATATATATATATATATATATATATATATAGACACGTGGGGGTAGGGTATATATATATATATAGACCATATATATAAAATAAAGATATCTTTATAATAAAGATATCTTATCTTGAGGTTATCTTGAGATGATTTCGGGGCTTTTTAGTGTCCCCGCGGCCCGGTCTTCGACCAGGCCTCCACCCCCAGGAAGCAGCCCGTGACAGCTGACTAACGCCCAGGTACCTATTTTACTGCTAGGTAACAGGGGCATAGGGTGAAAGAAACTCTGCCCATTGTTTCTCGCCGGCGCCTGGGATCGAACCCAGGACCACAGGATCACAAGTCCAGCGTGCTGTCCGCTCGGCCGACCGGCTCCCTTGATATATGGATGTATATATGGATGTATATGGGATATATGTATGTTTCATTTATTTAAGCTATGTTATTACATTTTATTTCAATCTACAGAAACACACATATATAACAATCACTGTTCTAAAACCTTCTCCAGCTCTGTAGAGGTGGATCACGTCCCCAAGATACAGCAGGCAATGCCTCTCTGGATCGTGACACTGAGGCGCTGTATGTGTAAACTCCCAGAAGAAAAGAAGGAATATATTCCAAACTTTCGTCTGTATTTTGGGTAACATTGAATTGAATTGAATTGAAATAAGTTTATTGAGGTAAAATACACACAAAGGGATGAGGTAGCTCAAGCTATTCTCACCCCATTCAGTACAACGTGTTAATATATACATAGACACACATCACAAATAAACACATTACCAAACATTCTGAGAGGTAAACATATACATTTCCTCCCTCACAAGTAGTATGGTATCAGACGTACACACAAATACTTTTACTTTTATGACCTAGGTTTTGGGTAACATGATGTCAGGTGAAGGCACAAGTTGATGAGAAATAATCGGGACCGTAATTAATCTTAATTACTATCATTAACTTTATCAGTTTAGAGTTGTGTTTATTAGGTTTTCTTCACCATATTTGCATTAATTATGCCTGTCTTATACACGCCATAATTTAAATTTACATAGTTACTGTATTGACTATTGGAGACCATCACAACGACCGTGGTCTTATGGTCCCCCGTGGAGCTAGACCAGAGGAGACCTAATGAGGAACACACACACAGAGTAACATCGACAGCATATGCAATATTACAAATTTAGGAAATATCTTCAGTAATCTGAAAAGTAGGTCAAGAATGCTGAAAGTTTTATACGTAAACCAATTCTTGAGTACACGGCTCCAGACTGAAACCCTTACCTTTTCAGACATATTTTTGAACCAGATAATGTTCAAAGGTATACTAGAAGACTGGTCTCTGAGCTAAAAGGCATGAGTTACAAGGAGACTAAAATGAATGAATTTGGCATACCTGAAGAGGAAAAGAAACAAGGAAAACATGATCACGACATGCAAAATAGTTATGTGAATCGACAAGGTGGACTGTTTGCAATGGTGGACTAGAACACGGATGTAAGCTGAGCACCCAAATGAGCCTTCCTATCTTGAGGTGATTTCGGGGCTTTAGTGTCCCCGCGGCCCGGTCCTCGACCAGGCTTCCACCCCCAGGAAGCAGCCCGTGACAGCTGACTAACACCCAGGTACCTATTTTACTGCTAGGTAACAGGGGCATAGGGTGAAAGAAACTCTGCCCATTGGAAACATTTCTTTAACATTAGGATAGCAAGGGGAATAAACATGATAGTAAAACAGTGAAAGACATCATCTTACGTGTATTTAAACACATAGCCGATAGAATCATGTGGTTGGGGGTAAGTACACCAGCCAATTGCAGGCCAAGAGGCTGGACCAAAGAGCTGAAGCTCAGTTCCCGAAAGCACAGTACATATAGCCACATATACACCTATACATATATCCGCACACGCGTGCACACACTCAGAAGCATTGGTATATACACTCGCTCACACACACACACTCACAAGTACACACTCTCACAAGCACACACTCTCACACGCACACACTCTCACACGTACACACTCTCACAAGCACACACTCTCACACGCACACACTCTCACACGCACACACTCACACGCACACACTCACTCACGAGCAAGATTCCGAGCGCACCTTTCCCTTTCACGTCACCATTCACCAGGGGATCCCGCGCCTCTCCCTGCACCTCGACCCTCTTTTGTTCTCCAGTGTTAGTCCCTCTTTTATTTTTTTGTTGTGGAGGATATGAGAGGTGACCCTTTTACCGTAGTCGACAATTTACAAGTTTTCATATGAATATAGCTGATGAGTGTGATGATAACTGCCTCTCCTTGTCTCATCATCAATTGCACTTGCATTCGCGGTCATGTTTGCATGTCCGTGACTCGATGACTCGAGTGCCTGGGATCGAATACCGGGAATCAAGGCGGGTGAAGGTCGCGGGTGCCGCCGGAAGATGGCAGCAGGAGAGCGGTATATATAAAGAGAGCGATGGGTCCGGTTAGCAAGTCAGTCCTCACTCACCAGGCAGGGAAGGTGCACGCTCCTGCTCGCCTCCCTACCTCTTATTTATTTATTTATTTATTACATATTAGTTTCACCAAATTACCATTCAGTGCCAAATATGAAAGTTAAAAGTGAGTATACTTATATTACCTATGTGAACTGTGTATATATAGTATGTGGAAATGTCACGAATTATTTGGAGTGGTGGAGAAGATCTGTGTATTACGTGTGTCAGTGAATGTGGTCCTGAAGGTACCCTATAATATGTAACCTCTTTCATTCCCCCTGTAGGTGTTGTGAGCGTGCTGCTGGTGGTGCTGCTGCTGGCGGCGGCCTCCGTGTACGGTGAGGAGGAGTGGTCCTGGGGCAGCGAGTCTCCCCGCCAGGCTAAGGACGTTGGTGAAGCCCCAACACCCGGCGTCGCTACCCTCACCGTCTCCGTCAGCCCTGAGGAGCAGACCCCAGATCTTGAGGCGGACTTCCTCCGGAAGACATTGGGTGTCGGGCCCCTGCCTCTGGAGCCCCATTCCTCCTACTCCGTGAGTGCCGAGGGCGTTGAAGGTGGCGTTGAAGCTGTGGACGGCCTCTTGATTTCCGGGGACAGAGACCGTGAGGGACGCTTTCTGGGTATTGGAGAAAAACTCTGCACGTACGGGATTGGCATCAATGTGAGTATTTGACGAAGTATCTTGCTTTGCCCCTGTGACCAACTGGTATGGGTTAAGGTTGATCAATAATAGTTTCATGGCAATACAAACTTTTATAATTTACATATATTTTGTTCATACATGCACTCTAAAAATATATATATTTCTGGTCTCTAAGCTGAACGTGATATATATGTATCACATAGATGTATCTAAGTTGAACGTGATAGATGTGTATCGTGATAGATCTAAGTTGAACGTGATATAAATGTATCTAAGTTGCATTTTAATTTTATTTCAGTGTAACAAAAAATATCCATCGCCAGTGAAGTCACAGTACGGAGCTCCACCCCTCAAGCCAGTCGGTGGCTATGGACCACCTCAGGTGGGCTATGGTACCCCTCAGGTGGGTTACGGCGCCCCACCTCCTCCCCCCACCTACCCCATCAGAAAGTACGGTTCTCAACCACCACTAAAAGGATCATCACAGTCCTCCTCACTAACTGGACTCCTATCTGTGCTCGAGCCTTTCATGCCCGGTTCCAAGAAAAAGATTCCCCCTAAAATAGGTCACGATGTCCTGTCTCCCTCCTACATAGCTCCCAACCCCAACTATGCCCCGTTGTTATCCTCGTATTACCCGCCAACCAATCCCAGTTATGCCACCCCTCGCCCCGCATTCCCAACCACTCAGTACATCTCCCAACAACCCGACTACATCGCCCCGAAGCCCGTTAATTACGTTCCTCCCAAGCCCAACTATGCCGCAGCCCTCCCATCCTATGTTGAACCCAAGCCGGCGTATGCTGAACCTAAGCCAGTCTTTGCCAAACCCGTCGCAACTTACACGGTTGAGCGGGCCATTCAGCCCACTGTGATAGAGCATCACACACATTCCCACACACATGTCTATAAGGACCAGGGAATTCCTCACGATATATACCAAGGGCATGGCAGTCAGCAAGTGTTCCAGAGAGAAGACGTTAAGAAGGATTCTAGTCTCGGACTCAAGAGGGAAACTAATCTGGGTAACATCCAACAGAGCACGCATCGCGACATCCAACAGAGTGTACATCGCGACATCCAACAGAGCACGCATCGCGACATCCAACAGAGTGTACATCGCGACATTCAACAGAGCGCACATCGCGACATTCAACAGAGCGTACATCGTGACATCCAACAGAATGTGCTTCGAGATATCCAACAGAATGTGAATCGCGACATCCAACAGAATGCTCATCGCGACATCCAACAGAATGTGCTTCGAGATATCCAACAGAATGTGAATCGCGACATCCAACAGAATGCTCATCGCGACATCCAACAGAGTGTGCATCGAGAAATCCAACAGAATGCTCATCGCGACATCCAACAGAGTGTGCATCGCGATTTCCACCAGGCGAGTGCCAGCGGCAGTGCTTCGTCTCTGTCCGTCTTCCCAGCAGTCCTTGTCGGTCAAGAATTTCAACCAGGCAAAATCGAGACAGGATTCAAACCAATGTCGTCAGTGCAACAGACCCTCTTTCGGCCATTGACTCCCGCATATCGCGAGGATTGCCAATGCGTCCCGATTCCTTTCTGCTCCGACCAGGATGTTATCGGCCGCAGCGCCCCTGGCGACATCCGGGAGCTCTTGGACGCTCGCAATAAAGGCTCTGATATTCTATCCAATGCTACTGAACTCACCAATAGTGACGCAGCTCTTGTAAACGAGAATAAACTCAACGCGAACTCTATAAGGAGAGGGAGAGTACTGGGCCTGAGTGCCGAAACAGTGACCGAAGAAACAGCTGAGGAAGTAACAGACCTGATAACAGAGGTAGATACAACTGAAACAGTTCCTGAAGAAGTGACGGAAGAGGTCAATGAAGACGTGACAGAGGCCACAACTGAAGACGTGACAGAAGCAGTAACGGTGGACGGTCAAGAGACGCGTGTCAGACGACAGGCAAATAGCACGGACGAACAGATAGCAGCACCGGAGCTCGAGAGCGCCCCCAGCGACCGCCAAGGAGTGAGTTAGCCTTTTACTTCGTCATTAATTTTTGGATCTCAAAGTTATAATTTGAATCTCATTCATTCAAAACACATTTTTCGTATATAATTTATCTTCCAACACATGTTACTGGAGTCTAATTGTTGTCTTTGGTCCCTAGCGTCAGTTAACAGGCTTCACTCCTGGTAGTGAAGGCTGCGGGCCCAACCATGTCTGCTGCCGCAGGCCTGTCTTCAAACCACGCCGCAGTCAGAAGTATACTTGCGGGCTCCGCAACGCTGCTGGTCTCCTGGGTCGCGTCAAGACCGCTCACTTTGTTGAAGGTGACGCGGACTTCGGGGAGTACCCCTGGCAGGCAGCGATTCTCAGGCGCAAGGAAGGGGAAATCATGTATCAATGTGGAGCCACTCTCATTGACGACAGACATGTTCTCACAGCGGCCCATTGCATGGAAGGGTCAGTATTGTTTTCTTAGATGCTTAGCTTCACGAAACATTGTTGTATTATACATATCGGATATTATTATTATAAGTATTATTTGTATATAACTATATAACACATATATTAGTTTAGGTTGTAACGGTGTTATTGTGTTGGCAGACTTCACCCGTCCCAGTTGAAGGTGCGACTGGGCGAGTGGGATGTGGCGGGAAACTCAGAGTTCTATACACATCTTGAGCTGAGGGTCGCCGGCGTCTACCCCCACCCGGAGTACTACAAAGGAAATCTTAATAACAACCTTGCCGTCGTCAGACTAGAAGCTCCTATTGACTTCACAGCATAGTAAGTACCTGCCTTGGTTATGCCAGTCAGAACCGATACACGTTTTCATCACGTTTATTACAAACTTACATCGATATATCATTTGTATATATTGTCAGTGAAGAGAGAGTAGTTCTAACAGCACTTCTCCCTCCCCAGCCCCCATATCACCCCTGTCTGCTTGCCGAAGGAGTTTGCAGACTTCAAGCACCAGCGCTGCCATGCAACTGGCTGGGGTAAGGATGCCTTTGGCTCTGAAGGCAAGTTCAGCCAGGTACTGAAGGAGGTTGAACTGCCCATCGTAGAGGACCGACAGTGCGAGGCGGTCCTGCAGCAGACTCGCCTGGGTCGAGACTTCACCCTCTACGAGGGTAACCTGTGTGCCGGCGGCGAGGCGGGAAGAGACACATGCCAGGTATGTCATTATATTTTATCTCACAAGCATACATACTATTTTATTCATCTGATACAATCACGAAGATCTAAACTGGCAATATTGTATTTAATATGTGTGTGTGTGTGTGTGCAGGGTGACGGAGGGAGCCCCTTGGTGTGTAGCGGCAGTGACGGCCGGGTACAGCTGGCCGGGCTTGTGTCGTGGGGTCTGGGCTGTGGCCAGCCCGGCATCCCTGGTGTCTACGTCAGAGTCGCCCACTACCTCAGCTGGATCCGGGACATCACCAAGTCGTAGAGGTCGTCTTCGTCAGGTCATATACCACTCGTCAACCTAGGTTATTTTGGCATATTTGTATGCTTAAATAGACCTCAAGTGTTCACTGGCAGCATATGCTGGTGGTTTATTATAAGATCTTCCTCTGTTTGAAGATGTATGTAAGCATTTTATGCTATGTTGTACTCTTGAGTAAGAGAATTCTAGTTATTATGTTAATAAAATGTTATTTTGTAATATTTGTTTTGTTAAAAATTTTGAATTTACAACAGCAAAATGTCTCTTACGACTAGAACCGTGATTAATTATAATATTAAAATTTTCCCTTTCGGAAAATTAATTTAACAATAATCTTAAATAGTAAACATATATGGGTCTGCATATAAGTACATATACGTTTATATTCTATGGATGTACCTATGTATATGATGCAACTATATACTCGTCTATACATGTACCCAGTTTTAGTTGATCTCTTCAACAACATGTTCCCAAACACCTTTCACCGGCGACGACGGAAGCTTTCTAAGAAGTATGAGCAACAGAGTCTGAGAGCGACGACCTCTTGTCTCCCGCCCGCCCTTCTCTCACCCACGAGATCACAGCCACCAGCCCCAAGCCCCTTTCACGGTGAAAGTTGGTACCCCGCAACGCTACGGTGTCACCACGCCTCACTTTACCACCTACACTACCACCACCACCACCACCACCACCCACCTACACAGCTATTCCACCATCCACACACCTACTCTACCACCACCGCCCTCCACCCTCTAGGGTGACACCACGCCTGACTTCAGTACCACCACACAACCATCACCCTGGAACCACACCCTTCCAGGATAACATTACTACAACTATAGTTTTCACTTGTACACCAACCCTAGACCTGAAATAACGCAAACACACTCCTACGCAGTCACACCTCTGCAACACTCCCCACGTAGTCACACCTCCACAGCACCTCCCACCTAGTTACAGTTCTACAACCCCCTTATATATATCTTCAACGCAAAAGCATTTGCATATAACTTCGTGCATTCAACAACAGAACTTCCGTTAAACGCTTATACGATACTTCTTGGATACCTGAACGATAACAAATCCTACGAACGAGGGGCCAAATTCACGAAAGCACTTACGCAAGCACTTACGAACCTGTACATCTTTTCTCAATCTTTGGCGGCTTTGTTTACAATTATTAAACAGTTAATGAGCGCCGAAGCACCAGGAGGCTGTTTATAACAATAACAACAGTTGATTGGGAAGTTTTCATGTTTGTAAACTGTTTAATAAATGTAATCAAAACCGCCAAAGATTGAGGAAAGATGTACACGTTCGTAAGTGCTTTCGTGAATCTGGCCCGAGGGATCCAGTAGCTTCCTCGACCAGTAACCTAGTAACCACCACGGCTCTCAGTGGCCAAAAACATAGCTATAATCTTGGCACAGGAAACAAATCCTTATCCTGGAGGTCGTGAAACGAGGCTACTTAACGTTAGTAAACAATGCCACACATCACTCGAGTTAATTGCTGTATGCTGCGTCACATTGATGAAAGTTGGCCCGCCTTTCCGCTCTCTTAAATGCTGCAATGGAAGGGAATGTTTTTCCTTTGTTTCTTATGTTCAGTCGATAAATACTGGGGTGATGTTTGGGAAGTGTACCGTGGCTTGTTGATTACAGGCGTGGGTGTGTGTATTCTTGGATGGGTGTACCGGGTCGTTAACACAATAATTCTCATATAGACACCGGCACATACCCAAGGGAACACACTATTCACGGACAGTCGTGTGCATACATTAAAGTACGCACGTAAATGGCAAGCATACAAGTACGCGCGCACGCACGCACGCACACACACACGCACGCACACACACACACGCACACACACACACACACACACACACACACACACACACACACACACACACAAAGAGCCAGAGCTCAACCCCCGCAAGCTCAAGAAGGTGAGTACACACCGTTACGGTAACAAGAATCTCACTTTCACCAGAACATTCACTTGCCCCCCAACACTCTTTGTCACACACACTTTCTCCTCTCACTTCTCTCCCTCTCTCCCTCTCTTGCTCCCCCCCCCCTCTCTCTCTCTCTCTCTCTCTCTCTCTCTCTCTCTCTCTCTCTCTCTCTCTCTCTCTCTCACACAATCTCTCTCTTTCCTTCTTCCCCCTCTTCCACTGCTTCACACACACACACATTAAACAATTGCATCACCACTGATACCACTGCGCCATAGAGAAGAGAAGGGAAGACAACTATCAGGGGAAAGCACCAAGCCATTACGATTATGTAGCACTGGGAAGGGATCAGGATAAGGATTAGGGATGGGACAAGGGTGGGGGGGGGAAGGAATGGTGCCCAATCACTCGGACGGTCGGGGATTGAACGCTGACCTGCATGAAGTGAAACCGGCGCTCTACCGTCCAGCCCTGGAGAATAAAAGACTACGTCATAACATGCGCCACTCAGAACACTGCACCACTCAGAACACTGCGCCACTCAGAACACTGCGCCGCTCAGAACACTGCGCCACTCAGAATAACGACTCCATCATAACATGCGCCACTCAGAACACTCCGCCACTCAGAGTAACGACTCCGCCATAACATGCGCCACTCAGAATAACGACTCCGTCATAACATGCGCCACTCAGAATACTCCGCCACTTAGAACAACGACTCCGTCATAACATGCGCCACTCAGAACACTCCGCCACTCAGAGTAAGGACTCCGTCATAACATACTCCACTCAGAACACTCCGCCACTCAGAATAACGACTCCGTCATAACATGCGCCACTCAGAATACTCCGCCACTTAGAACAACGAATCCGTCATAACATGCGCCACTCAGAACACTCCGCCACTCAGAACACTCCGCCACTCAGAACACTGCGCCACTCAGAACACTCCGCCATTCAGAGTAAGGACTCCGTCATAACATGCGCCACTCAGAACACTCCGCCACTCAGAACACTTCGCCACTCAGAACACTCCGCCACTCAGAACACTGCGCCACTCAGAACACACCGCCACGCAGAACACTCCGCCACTCAGAACACTCGGTCACTCAGAACACACCGCCACTCAGAACACTCGGTCACTCAGAACACTCGGCCACTCAGAACACTCGGCCACTCAGAACACTCGGCCACTCAGAACACTGCGCCACTCAGAACACTGCGCCATTCAGAACACTCGGCCACTCAGAACACTGCGCCACTCAGAACACTGCGCCACTCAGAACACTCGGCCACTCAGAACACCCCGCCACTCAGAACACTCGGCCACTCAGAACACCCCGCCACTCAGAACACTCCGCCACTCAGAACACCCCGCCACTCAGAACACCCCGCCACTCAGAACACCCCGCCACTCAGAACACTGAGCCACAGTCTCCCTGGTGATGGGCGTGGCTTCCCTCCCTCCCATCACTGGTGTATTATGGAACTGTCCAACTTTCTCCTGAATCATTTATCACTTCCTGTGTTGCATTCTCCAAGACCTTCTATGCTTAGGTGTTCTTTCTCTCTCTCTCTCTCTCTCTCTCTCTCTCTCTCTCTCTCTCTCTCTCTCTCTCTCTCTCTCTCTCTCTCTCTCTCTCTCTCTCTCTCTCCCTCTCTTCATCAGTCGTCAAGGAGGGGGAGCCTCACCCCTGGTCCCCCTTCTATATATGGTTTCTATATATATGGTGCACACGTGGTGTGTGACGTCAGAGTGACGTTACACAGTTCATGCGGATACAGGTTTGGGATCCCAGTGGCTCAAGGCCTTCACCTACAGGACAAAATAAAAGTTTCCAATTTCATTCCCAGAAGATGTCGCTCCTGGAACCTGCCCATGACCTCCATCACCTGTTCCCGTCTTTTGAGGTCAATGTTTATTATTTAATACATATAATGATAGTTCTGTCAATGACGAAAAGCAGAACAACTTGTGCCATTATATTATTAGGTACGTGTGTTGTAATTGTTGTTGTTGTTTAAGATTCGCTACTTGGAACAAAATGTTCCAAGTAGCACGGGCTATGGTGAGCCCGTAGTGCACTTTATAACTTGTAATTGATCTGAATTAAGCAGTAGATCAACCTTATTAAACGACATCGGCAATACATGGATCACACTAAACCCAAGTGAAAAATTATCTTCATAACCTGGTACTTAAAACCCAGCCGTCAGCGACGAGTAGCGATGAACTATATCACCAACATATAGGTGACGTCTGGCTGAATGGTTATCATTCTGGCAAAGCAAGCCAAGGGGTCCCAGGGTCGACTCTCGACGAAGGGGCCTGGTTATATCAAATTTAGTTTATGCAAGTTTTTCAGGATGTAAATATTTCTGGTCAAGATTTCTTTAAGATTTCCCTACAATCAGTTTGCACAACAACCCAACTAGTTGACCAATATTCAGCCCATGATGGAGTTGTACCTTCCAGATAACCCGCTGCGCCTGGGTGCTCGCCCCTCACCATTGAATGGCATGATTGGGAAATACCTTTTATCGCTGTACATTGAGAGAACAAATTTGCCTTTACTGTAGACCAAGTCCCTCTCTCTCCCGCGCTAACACGAAGGCTACTGAGGCTCCGCGAGAAACACAATAGACATAGAGTTGACGTCAAACCAACACAGGAATAATGAAAAAAAGTGTTCTCAAACCAGATCTGAAGGAGGCCTGGTCGAGGACCGGACCGCGGGGACGCTAAGCAACAAAATAATCTCAAGGTAACTCAAGGTAAGTCCCTCTCAGGGAGGGACCTACCTGTGAGAGAGGGACCTACCTGTGAGAGAGGGACCTACCTGTGAGAGGGACCTACCTGTGAGAGAGGGACCTACCTGTGAGAGAGGGACCTACCTGTGAGAGAGGGACCTACCTTGGAGGGAGAGAGAGGTTATGTTTCACCATCTACAGAAATAACCTGAATCACACTTTACTCGAGTTACTCATCAATAGAAACTCTTATTAATGTTACCGTTGATACCTTCCCTCGCCAGTAACAAAGTAACACATGTTGTTTTAGATTCAGCGACTCGGAGCAAAAGTTGCAAGTAGCACGGGCTATGGTGAGCCCGTAGTGGACGTTTGGTAACACACTCCAGCCGGTTACCTAACACGACATCCGCTCCACGCGCTTCCCAGCGAAGCCTGACTCAATCAACATTTAGGGAAAGGAGGATTGACCAAACTGGTCTCTGTCTTCAGGCCCAAAACCACTC